GGAAGGTCGAGCTGGATGAGGGGTAGGAGGCTTACCGGCTTCACCCTCGGTTTGAACTCGTCCATTGATGTAGGTGAATGTATGGCCTTTCTTCTCTAGGGCGTAGGTGATTCCACCTGGTATAGGTTAGGATGGTTTGTTTGAGCGATGGGTGTGGTGTTGATTGATTCCATCATAATTCGGGGCAAGGCATACCAGCCTGGATCTCGAAGATCTAGATGCCGCGAGTCAACTTGCTGTGCCCCCGCCAAACATATTCGGGGAATGATGGAGGGGGAGGGGGGTTTGATGTAGATTAAGACTGCATTGCATGGACAGACGTACTTCTCCGCTGGTCCCAGCACCGTGTAGACAGAGGAATCGCATTGTGGATTTAAGCTTTTGTTGTTGCAGTGCTTGGAAACTTGGGCCGAAGTGGGAGGAGACAAGTAGCTCTTATCAATAAAGGTACCGATCAATCAAACACAGCCCACCCACCGAGCCTAACGGAGTGGCATGTCGGGCTGACTCCGACAACGGCTCCAGCGTCAGCAGCGCCCCGACCATTCTAGGCTAACCATGCTAGCTAACTTACCATCCATTGTGTCTGCTCTGCATCTTGCAACCTCTGTCGGATTTGATCCTCACGAACCACCTCCCCCGCCATCGTCGCATCATATACTACAGCCCGAATCTCCAGGTTTCGCATTGAGATGTCAACTATGGCATATCCTCCGATTGGACATGGCTTCCCGTACCACAATCTGGCCGCGCCCGTGCTTTCCGGAGGCAACTTTTTGGGCGTCTCCTGAACTTGCGATTGAAAGAAGCTCAGAACTCATACTCCTTTCCTATCGAGCTATGTTCTTGTAGGCTTCTCAAGATGTCAGCTACAGTTTCATCATCTCACAGGGCCACTTGGGGCGCATTGCAGCGCCCCTCGGAGTACTATCATCATTTTGGTCCTACCTTGAACGAACTCTCGTTCGGTCTCCTGGGGTGGTCCTTCCAACCCCAGCGGGACATTGTTGACCTCTCAGGGAAGGTCATTCTTGTCACAGGAGGTATTTCTGCTTGGTCTCTGTCGATTATTCATGTTAGTGGCACATGCTAATTTTCATCACTTGGGATAGGCAACACCGGCCTCGGAAAGGAAACCATCGTCCAACTCGCCCAACACAAGCCATCCCGCATCTACCTCGCCGCACGAAATGAGGCCAAAGCCCAGGATGCCATTGCATCAATCCGGGAGAATATTCCATCCGCCGTCGACATCAGATACCTACCCTTGGATCTGGGATCACTGAAATCCATCCGCGCCGCGGCCGAGCGCTTCCATGCGGACTGCGACCGCCTGGACACTCTGATCCTCAACGCGGGCACGATGAACAACCCGACCAAATTCACCGAGGCCGGATTCGAGCTGCACATGGGCACGAATCACATCGGACACTTCCTGCTCACCACCTTGCTGCTGCCGATCATGCAGAAGACTGTGGCGCTGTCTTCGGACGTCCGCGTCGTGTCCCTGAGCTCTGCTGCCAACGTGGGCAGCCCCTCATTCGAGGTCATGACCTCCGCGTCCGCTCTGGCAGAGACTCCAGGCATGGTCCGGTATTGCGCATCCAAGGCGGCGAACATCCTCTTTGCGGCCGAGTTGGCCCGCCGTTATCCGGAGATTCTCTCCGTCGCAGTGCACCCGGGCGCGGTGGCTAGTGATCTATACGACCATACGATGCAGAGGAATCCCGTCTTCAATCTGGGGCTGAAGGTCATCAAGAGTGGGTTCTGTCGGTCGCTGCGCACGGGGGCGCTGAACCAGCTGTGGGCTGCGGGAGCGAAGCGGGAAACGCTGGTTAATGGCGCTTACTATGTGCCTATTGGGGTTCATGCCAGTGGGAATCCGTATGCCAATGACGTGGAGATGGGAAGGCAACTGTGGGAGTGGACTAAACAGCAGATTGCTGAGAGGGACTGATTCCATCTGATTGTTCCCATCCGTGACGGGTGACGTTTAAGGCATCGCTTGTATCTTGGACTGTTCGCATTGTAGCATAGCGTTTCTGATGGACAAATCTCTTCATTGATAGTTAATATGAACTGTGATATAACTATGAGACGACAAAGACTAGATTCATGGAGTATCTCGACGATATTGATGCTACGTCATGGCTGGGCCTCATCGAGACGACTGGGAAGGGACCGGCGGGCGGGAACATCAGATTACCCGAATAGGAATGAGATACTGGGGCTCGGGTGGTGAACATCCAGGGTCCCATACAATCAGCCACCACTCTGGTCACAACTCAGCTCAATACAGTTTATGAAGACAATCGTCCCATTCCTGGCAGAAGCATTGCCCATGCTAGGTGCGCGGACGACCTGCCATGGACTCAGGACTGCACCATGCGTTCGATCGGTGATACACAGATTGCCAAATGGGTTGCTGCCCGTCAGCAGCGGGAGATCGTTAGGGTTTAGCCGAGGAGCCTCTCTGGACTCCCTGTTCGAGTTTTTCGCCCACAACCACCATGGCAGATCTCCGATCTCGATGATAGTAGCAGATCCAAACCATTGAGGATGTACCTTGTAGTCATAATCATCATTGTAGAAGCTGTGGGAGCTATACGTAGTGTAGAGGCCATGCGACTCTTAGCGAGGGGCGCGGTGGTCTCGCCGTGTCGGCGTTGCTCCCCACACAAACCCGCCCGGCGCATCACCAGCGACGGTTGCTGCTGCTGCTGCTGCTTGCGTTCACCACCCGTCGTCGTTGTTCCTCCCACTTCCACTCCTTCTCCTCTTCTCCCTCAGCACCATTCATCATCATCTTCGGTAGGTCTCCCCCCCCCTCTGTTTTTGCCAGCCTCATCGTCAGAATTCTTGCTCGTCGCCCATTTGGTCCGTTACTTCAACGAAGAAATCCCCAATTCTCCCTTGAACCAACCCGACCGAGAAAAGTGTCACGTCGCTCTCACCTGACCTCTCCACCCACTTCCATCACCACCACCAAACCACCACCACTATTCCCAAAACCTCCACCACACAAATTCCACGAGTCTTACCGAACGTACATCTCTGACAAGTCTTGCGTTATTATCGCTTCTAGGTTCAGTTCGAACGACCACTCAATCACCTTTCACAATGGATCAGGCAAAGTTGGCTCGGATGCAGGCTAGCGTGCGGATTGGTATGTGCCTTTTTGAATCTTCTGTCATAATTTTCCCCGTCGACCCCGATGCCCCTCCCCTCCCTCGTCATTTCGAAGGCCAGCTCCCAGCTGCCATGGCTTTTCCTCGCCAACGCAGAGCTCTTTGACAATCGCAAGTCCTCTGCATGAGAAAAGACTCGCGCGACTCGCGTTTCACCCCAATCCTTTTTGAATCTTCAAATTACCTAATGTTCAATGGAAAAAGTGTTTGCTGACATATCTCTCTTCTGCGCTTGGTAGGGTACGTATCTCTCAACACCTTCCAGCAACCTCAATGTCCCTTGTGCACATAGAACACCGGTCACCAATCCAACCTATTCCTTCGACATGCAAGCTGAAGCGCGCCCTACCGCCAAAACTCAGCCCGCGATTTCCAAACCCCCCTCTGCTTGCTCACATCTACCACATCATGACTATCACGATCGATCGAACCATCGCTAACCTTCTCCCCCCGAAACAGAGGCAAGGGTACTCCCCGCCGCAAGGTCAAGAAGGTCCACAAGTCCTCCGGTGCCGATGACAAGAAGCTCCAGGCCACCCTGAAGAAGATGAACGTCCAGCCCATCCAGGCCATCGAGGAGGTCAACATGTTCAAGGAGGACGGCAACGTCATCCACTTCGGTGCCCCCAAGGGTAAATCTCACACCTTCTCCTGCTCACTACGACAACAAGAACTAACTCCCTCGCAAACAGTCCACGCCTCCGTCCCCTCCAACACCTTCGCCCTCTACGGTAACGGCGAGGAGAAGGAGCTCACCGAGCTCGTCCCCGGTATCCTGAACCAGCTCGGCCCCGACAGCCTGGCCTCCCTCCGCAAGCTCGCCGAGAGCTACCAGAACATGCAGAAGGCCCAGGGCGCCGAGGGCAAGAAGGACGATGAGGAGGATGACATCCCCGACCTTGTCGAGGGCGAGAACTTCGAGAGCAACGTCGAGTAAAATTTGAGATTCTAATATAACGAATATTACTTCTGTTGTTTATTTTGTCAAAGGTGTGTGCGTGCGTGTGGGTGGGTGGTGTCTGGGTTGGTGTCTGGCGAAGGCACCTCCGCTCCCTACTCTATGTGTGTGTGTTCCCGTGAAGGGGCGATCTGCATCTTACCAGTACTACTACTACCCCCTCTTCAAGAAGCTGGAGTTTCTTTTTGTTTGCGGGGATTTTCGAGATCTTTTCCTTCATCATTTCGAGAAATCTAGGTTAAGGTCCTGATTTGTTCGAGGTTGAATTTTACCCTTGAAACAGAGAATAAAAGGCTGCGTCTCTGGGATGTAGTGAGAATGCTGGTGGTCAAGTTCGGTGGTTGAATCTTCATGCATTTTGTATCTGTTTCCGAGTAAGCTCTTATGGATCCAGCTATACTGAGCAGTACAGACGAGATCGAGATCGGCAGTCGACCCTCTTGCGGTGTATAGTAGCATTGTAAGGGTTCACCTACCGTACAGGCACAACTAGTGCTGGGTCTACGTCAAGTAGACCAGTAGTCTAACCTAGCTTCTCAACCCACATAGATCTTTTCAGCAGGAAACCCCTCTTTGCGGAATATATGCAGACGTCCTTCATTACCTAGTAAGTAGTTTATACGTAAAAAGAAATTCCATATGTCCCCATGCATCTCTTTTCCCGTCTCCACGCGCGCAACTTGCAAAGATCCATAATAACGCCCTTTTCCATCACACAATGCAAGTAGAAATGGAAAGTCATGACAACCAGGAAAAAAAAAAAAAAAAAGAAGAGTAGACGCGGAGATATAAATGAACTTGAGACCAGACTTTCTTTTCTCTCTCGTTCGCTCTCATCGTAGAGATAGATATCAAGGCAAAGACAATAACCGCTGGCGCAGACATGAGAAAGGGTTTATGGTACAGGGTAGATATGGTGTTTGCTGGCGTACAATCGCTGGTCCAGGCCCATCATGTGCGCAGATCCGTCTGCTTCCACCTTCCTCGGTCCGAATCGACATCACATCACGTTACATCAATCCCAGGAGAACGGGCGGCGGGGGTCTAATTCCTTTAGCCCCGTCGAGGAGCCGGAATATTGAAGGGCTTTTGTTGTTGTTGTTGTTGTTGTTGCTGGGGTATCATCGTTGGGGTTCTCGATGGCTTCCAGCGGGGTTCGCGAGAAGAGGGGGCCTTTATCTGGCAAGGCTGAGCGGTGGTGTAATTGCTGTTGTTGTTGCGGTTGTACGGGCGATTCAGTGGCCGTGGTCGTTACGGCTGCGATCGTTGTTGGGACCGCAGCCTCCGAGGACTCCTCCTTCAGGCCGCAGATGTCTGTGCCGATGATCCTATCGATCATGTACCAGAACCGCCAGTAGGTATTGGACTTGTCATAGTCGAAGACGCCGTCCTCGCGCAGCTGCGGGCCGTCGCCCACGATATCGCCGGTGAACCAGCTGAGGATGGGGATGGAGCGCAGCACCCGTTCCGTGACGGTGGGCTGCGGCGGGAGGGCCTCGGTCAACGGCCGCAGTTTCGTCCGCCGCACCGTGGGGATATGGGTCATGAAGTCGGATTCGGGTTTGGGTTGCGCCGCGGGGGCGCTGATGACGGGGCGCTGTTGTTGCTGCACCGGAAAACTGCTGCCCGTCGGCTGCTCGAGCCCCATGGCCGTGGTCGAGCTGGCCGTCGGCGTGGAGTCCATCGAGTCCGCCTCCTCATCCATCAGATCCGGCACCGTGGACAGGTTGCCGAACGCAAACGACCGGGGCAGGGTATGGCGCTCCTTGTCGGAGCCCGTGGGCAGGAACGCCGTGGAATGCGACGTCGTCAGCGTCCGGGGCGCCTTGGACTGCACGCGCTGCGCCGCCGCCGACCCGGCCACGATGGGCACATCCTCCGCGGGGCCGCGGCCATGGTACAGCTCGCAGAACACCAGGTGCCCGTCGATCTCCTGCGGCGAGAAGAAACACGCCCGGTCCGCCGCCGTCGTCGAGTCGAACGTGACTTTAATCCAGTGGTACCCGCCCGCGTAGCGCTTCGACTTCCGGTTCGCGTCCGCCGACAGCCCCGTCCGGATCACCACGTCCCCGCCGCTGAGCAGCTGCGAGAACCCCGTGGCCGCGTGCGGGTCCGTCCGCGGATAGTCCTCGCAGATGAACCCCTGCGAGATCCGCTCGTACTTGTCCAGCACCTTCCACTCCCCGTCCTTGCTCTTGTACCCGTACAGGATGCACTCCGTCGCGACCTTCTCCGCCTCCTGTTGCTGTTGCTGCTGCTGCTGTTGTTGTTGCTGGTGCTGTTGCTGCTTGCGCAGACTCTCCACGTTCGACGCCGACGCCGATTTCGGTAAAGTGTTGCTGCGGACCTTCTCGTCCTCCTGCTGCGCCGCGAACAGGCGCCCAAACTCCGTCACGTTGGGGTTCTCGCGCTTGGCCGCCGGCGTGCCGGTGCGGGTGCGCGAGCGCGTGTGTTCGTAGCGGGCATTGCGGCGCTTGCCGAAGGGGCCTGATTCCTCCGGGGCGCGGCGTGGATTGCGGGATTCGCTGTAAGGATTCCTCCATTAGCATCGCTTGCTTTTTGGAATCGGGGGAAAAACAAGTCCAGGTATCTGTGAGGGAAACCCCCCGCAAGAATTTGCGCTGATGCCCACTTACTCCTTGTAAACATAACCCCAGGGTAACAGCTCGCCCTTCTCATTTCTGGCACGCTCCTCCGGGGGAACAAAGTGGTATTCCATGATGATAAAGAGATTTCAAGATGCGCTTGTCGTAAGTTGAAGCAATAGCTAGAAGTATGAGACCGATGTAAGACGAGTGCAGATTCGCTGAGAAGAAGGATGTGCAAAACGGGCTGGAGACGGTGCGGAATTGATGGAGTGAAGTTGAAGCTGGCCCAGGATCTCCGGCCCAAAAGTTTTGGGGTTCCGCCCATAAACAGTCGTGTTAGCCGGGATACCGTCACGTGAGGGTGTGGTCTTGGTATGTAGACTGGAGAGGTCGGTTGGACATGAATGGGACAACATTTTTCTACTTATTTGTTTGTGCGAAATTGTCACTGGAATCTAATTACTTCTAGGGGGTCTCTGTGAGATGGTTTTGAGCTTTCTTAGTTGAAACTTGAGAGGCAGTTTATCAAGGTTCTATGCCAATGACATATTTTTTGTCGAGTCTGTGGCCCGCTTCCTGTATGTTTTTGAGGAATGGCTTTAGCACGTTCCATCTCATCTCACAACTTAATGAAGGCTAATGATACTCCAGGAATCTTGAGGGTGATCGTGATTAGCAATATAAATCCCATCATGTGTAAGAGCAAAGAGCCTTAAGAAGTGATTTGACTAGTCCATCATTGAATCGAATCTCGTGACAGCATCCCGAATCGCAATGACTTCGCCAATTATACAAATCTACAGGCCTCTACCACAACGCACATGGGTGTGTTAATATGGACAAAAAGCGGACCCATAGCCATCGATCAAAAGTATACATTCAGTCCTGCCGCAGGAAAGTAACCTGTCCAGAATCCCCATCGAGACCGCACACAGCGCCGAATTCTCCTACTTCCAACCGCATCCTGTCAACATAGCCCACAAAATCCACCAAAGGACAAGACAACCCCGGCCCGCATTTACAGTATGGCAGCGGCGTTACCTTCTCATTGATGACTACTCGAAGGAAGGTATTCCCAGCATCGCCACGGGCACCCTCATCCCCGGACGAGCACGTCATCCGCTCCAGGACAACCCGCCCACCCATGGGCATCACCGACGAGGTGCGCCAGACCCGTTCCGAAACCATATGAGGAACCGGGAGCTCCGGATCATACTTCGGATCAGCCATGATCTTCAAGGCCGTCAAGAAAGGGCGCGATATCTCCATCATGCACACTATTTCAACCCGAAGTCAGCCTTCAGCCAGGTCTCCACTCGCACAGGACCGCCAACTCACAAACTCAAGAACAACGTCCCAGCATCGGGCCCCGACCTCAGAAGACCCGTCGTAGCAATCAGCCAAAGCCATCCCATCACCCGGGGGTAGGGGTTTCCGGGCCCCGCGCGGTAATAATGCAGCACGTCGCGCGCATACTCGAGATGCTTCCAGTCCTCGCGCGTGAACACCGCGCACCAGGGACTCGACCCGCGCACCAGCGTCTCGAACCCGCACATCTCCTGCATACTGTAGACCTCGGCGTTGCTCAGGGGCCCCAGCGCGGGGTTTCCTTGCTCGGTGGGTAGTCGCTCCGCGATCGCCGGGATGTAGGCTTGCTGGAACCGCGCGAGCATTGGGATACCATAGTCATGGCCGTGGTCGGTGTCCTCGAGGTAGCGGAGGCAGGTGTCCCCGGGAGTGAGGGTGTCGGGGCCGCGGTCGAAGGTCTCGGGGATGACTTCGAGGGTGGCTTTCCCGGACTCTTGCCAGTCTGAAGGGGACGACGACCCGGAAAAGTAGCCCGGATGCGAAGTGTCGGGCGGTTTGGATGACGCGGTTGCAGTCGCTGGCCCAGAGCCTGAGTCGCGACTATTTGCTGGCCAGTAGGTGTCTGTAGCGGGTGGAGAAGTGCAGGCCTGTGGTGTGGCTTTGGAGGGTGCCTGCATAGGGACCCGTGGTGGTCAATTGGTCGAAGTCGGTGGATGGGTCGTCGGTGAAATAGGTCCAGTTGTTGAGGAATGATAGGCTCCCGTTCAGTTTGACGTTGGCGTCGCGGATGCGATTGAGGAGCGCAATCTGGCCTTGAGTGGTTGTTGTTGCTGTTGTCAGCGTATCCTGTAGTGAGTACTGTGGCTATGGCGACAAAACCTACGGCCTCCGGCTGATCGCGTCGGGTACCGCGCCCCGTGGCGTGACATCTAGTCGGGAGTCAACCGATCTTGTATAAGAAGATTCGAAGGCATATATAAAGTGGAAATGATACCATGTGCACTGGTCAATGACGAGGTCGGGCCCCAAAGCTCTGCGAGTAGTGTACACCGCCACGCTTCTCGATCCAGGGTTTATTGCCCCCCAAGTGATGGAACATATTCCAGTCGTCATTCTGAGATTGCTCAGTCGTGTTCAGACCAAGCAGATATCGTGGTAATTGACAAAGGGTGTTCCGACTAGAATGAAGTGTTGAAGCTAAGAAGAATGGGCCATCGCTCGGACCGAGCCATCTTTTGATAGTAAACAAACCGTCATGGTTGTATATGATGCTGATGATGACGATTATAAATGGGACAAGCAATGTCCCAAGAGAAAGATCGCCAAGCATGACCGTTGCAAGCCTCCCCGGAAGTAGAGACACGCCTGAGAGTGTGTTGTAGATAGTGAAACCGGCACATGCGACAACCGCCGGGTTGGATTCTTGAAAGATCGACCAGCGGACCCGCCAAGAAGTCCGTTATATCACCGCAGGGACTAGTTCTTCATTTGGTGTTCATTATGTTCTACTCACTAGCGAAATAACCTTCGAATGATATGTACCCGCGTCAAAAAGGTAAAATTATATGATATCGGTCAAGTGCTATACACAAACCGAGGACTCTTGTCTCCTAGCTCTTCAATGGCTTCATCAGTCATGCCCGCAACCTTGTTGTCTTCCAAGCCCTGTTGTCTTCGCTTATTCTTGCAGTGATAGTACCACCACATGAGCCCATAGACCACCCCGGCAAAGCCAACCAGCGCGAGCGTGACCGCATTGCCTCGAACATAGCGCGGTGCTTCCTCAGTTTTGTACAGGAAAGGCGACATGACGCCACTGATGTTGCCAAACGTCAGCTGTAGACCCGTCGCAAAGGTCCGCTTCCCATATCGCGGCAGTGTGGTTGGTAGCCATGCAAGCGGCAGCCCCACGGTCACATATAGCCCCAAGGCAATAAGCAGTGCGCCGAAGTAATGTACCCCGGAAGATGAATCGGAGATCAGAACCCCGTACCCGACCACAGAGATCACAGCGAAGATGCAAACGAATATCGCACGGCGCTGAGTCCGATCGCTGAGCCAAGCGATCAGTAGATACACAATGGCGCCAAGCGCATAGCACGGAATGGTCAGTGCCTGAACTTCAGCAGTGGACCACTTGCCCATTCCCTTGATGATTGTGGGCAGAAAAGTGCTGTAGCCGTAGAGCATCGTGTCGACTCCAAATTGGGCGATGCAGAATGCATAGATTCTCCAGTCCAACGCGCCCTCCTTCACATCCGCCCAGTGGAACTTCTGCGCGGACGGAGTCTGGCCGACATGGCGACGGCGCAGACGGACGACCATAGCCTTCTCGTCTTCGTCGAGATAGTACGCTGTATCAGGCTCGTCGGCGAGAAAGAACCAGGTCAAAACCCCCAGGATGACGGTGGGAAACCCCTCGATGATCATGATCCATCTCCAGCCCCGTAGCCCCGCGACGCCATCCATGAAGCCAATGCCGTACGCAAGAAGACCCCCGAAGGCACCGGCGGCCGCGGCGCTGCTGAACAAATAACCAGTCCGGAGTGCGATCTCTCGCTTGCTGTAAAACAGCGTGAGATAAGTCATCAATCCAGGAAAGAGCCCAGCCTCGACAACACCTAATGACATGAGCATGAGAATAAAAGCGAGGAGCGAGTGCAGAATACTGACCTAAAAGTACACGGCAGGCAATCAACCCGCCATAACTCTGCGTAATACCTGTCAAGGTAGCTAGAATGCCCCAGATGATTGAGATTGAGGCAATGTACCGCGAGGGCCTGAGTTTCTTGATCACCAAGTTGGATGGGACTTCGAACAGCTTCAAATGATTGTCAGTGGTTGCGTTGAACAATTTGGTGTGTATGGGAGCATACGCAGTAGGTAACAAACAGAATGGATACTGCGACCTGATACTGATTGCCCACTAGGCCTAGATCTTCTTCCATGCCATACAAGCGGGCATTGCCAATGTTAACTGTTGGGTCGTATTAGCAACCGCTTGTAGACCGCCAGGGGACCGGATGAAAAGATCATTTGCACGAGGTAGACCCACCTCGATCCAAAAAGCTGAATAAGTATAGAAGAATAACGAAGGGGATGATGTGGATGTCTATCTTCCATATCAAGTGGCGTGCCCCTTTTTCGTCTGACAGCGATAAGTCCGATCTATCATCGCCATCTACGCCCAACGATGCTCGTGTGGGGGATTGTGCTTCGGCGTCTGCCTTGGGCTCTCTGTTGTAATCCATGAGGGGTGGTAGTGGCGATGATAGCTGCCTTGGCTGTGATCCCCGCAGGTTTGTCTGGGCGCTCAGATGAACTTCCCCGTGGGGTGATCTACAACAGCACCATGTATCAGAATGCAGTCGAGGGTATCGCAACTCATGTATCAAAGAAGGAAGAAGTCCACGTACACTGACAGCCGTCACACCCACTACGTTGTAAGTGAGGGAAGGCAAAAAATGCCCTAGAAAAAATGTGAGATTTCTAATCGCAGTGGCCAAGGATCGCCAAGGATCTAGACCCAATGTTTCTTTCCTTTTTTTCTTCTGCAGTTCAGGTGAGCAGATCGAGGATAGTTCATTAAGAGAACCTATGGGAGTGTTCTTTCGCCATGCGATGGTCGCATGAAATCAATAGCATGAACGGTTTACTATTGTTGGTGGGCGTTGTTGGTGATGCGTCTTAAAAAGACCCTGAGCTGGGTCGTCCCTCATCAAACTTTAAAATGGAGGGCGATTTGCACCAGCTCCATGGCTCATAACACGGGCCAACATTCTTGGCAATGCAAGGATACAATAGTCAGAACCTGCATAATGATGATGCAAATGCCCACAAGGAGTAAAAGCAATCGGTTGCAGATGATCAGATCTGCACTCAACAAACACTAGAGAACGTCACTGCGATGCGCCTGAACAATCGAATTTCCACTTCACTCGATAGCCCCTGTCCCGCGGGGGATAATTGTATCGTGACCCTAGGCGGAAAAATCACGTACTTGTAGGAGTTATAAGCAGCCACAACCTCAAGTCAAGTCGTTGGTAAGCAAAAATTGCTTTCCGAAGCCCTGGAACAAAACCTGCACCAAACTTCGAGAGTTCAAATGACTCAAATGAGGAAGATGATGCCAGCCCGATCCAGAGTATGTACTGTACCTAGGAAAGACTGGCCATTGGCTCGTTTTATACGAATGTAGCACAGTGTTACTCCATTGCATTGATCTTACACTTGATCAAACGCTGTAGACAAGAGAAGAGAGTGGTCAGTGCTTTAAGCGGCGAAAATAGAGACTCCTAAGCTGTCACACTCATCGGATCACAGCGGCGTTTCTCGTGATGAAGTTGCTGTCACTCTTACTACCGAGTGTCAACACGCTGGCTTCTGAGCTGGCCCTGGCTGCGCACCCACGGGTCTCTAATATCTGTTTCCATCTCGCACGATCAAGCTCCAACGATGCGGAATGTACACCTCCGGCTGCGATGGACCAATACACTACTCGGACTATGGTGATAGGTCGACATTCAAAACGTCAAACCGAGAGCCATGATCGAATAAGACGCTCTGAGAAGTGTTGATGACAAGTCAGTATGTGGTGCGGTTATCATATATCTGATAGTCAACAATGAGGTTCCTGGATTTAGAAGTGACTAGTTGAACTTTCGTCAAGATCAGTAAAGCTGGTGCAAACGAGCTGGAATTCGCTTCGAAATGAATGAGTCAGTAACTTGTGCGCGCCATTGATTTAAGTTGACATGACATCAAAGATCATCCTGCGTATTTAGCATCATCTCTGCTGTCTTGTCATTTCATGCAACGTTAATATAGTCAAGGATCCCAGGTTAGGTCGATCTGAGGAATTCAGGCTGAAGTACCATCGCCGTCGCCCAACATGTCTCAGACTTATGGGAACAACCAGTCCGAGATATACTCTCAAGGAACCACCTCAGGCGTCAATCCTACTGCCAGCACTAATCTTCGCCAACTTGAAGAACAGGCAAAGACGGCCTTGGGAATCCGTAGCTTCAAATATACCGCGCGTGGAGTAGGAGGAAAAAAACACGATGAACAGCAATCAGTAGGCATTTCGTCAATAGAAGATTTTGGGTCTATTCTCGTGCGGTCTGAAAGTCGAACGGCTGAAATAGTATCATACTAGAGTCCACAAATGCTGAAGCAGGTTAGCTGAGTAATCACAATTTTGTGATCATATGCAGGTTGCTCCTTTCTTGTAGAAATCCAGGACATTTCATTCAACACTTTCTGAGAGGAATATTCCAATCCTCATGTTGTGGCGCCTGTTTGGTGTGCAATCCATTTCTCATTCCACGAAGACAAGGAGACAAGACTTGCAGAGGCATGTGGGAATATTGGGGTCCCGTATATCCTTGGCACAACGAGCAGCAGCTCGATTGCTGATGTGGCAAAAGCCAATGGCAATAGAAAGAGATGGTTTCATCTGGATTGGCCAAGGGACGATAAGAGCACACTTTCCTTGTTGACACGTGAAAAGGATAATGGCTTCGTCGTCCTTCACCCTGGACACATGGTCGCTCACTTGGCGACCGGCCGACCTGGACAATGCTTATGTCCCATTCATCAAGGAATAGGGAACGAGATCGGTTTCACCCCCCACTATTCCGCGCGAATTTAAGAAGGATCCTAGCTCAAGAATTGAAGGAGATATTCCCTGTGCATTGAAATCATAGAGCTCGCAAATATTCTCCGGTGCCCCACACACTTGAGATCAGCTTGATTTTCTGCGGAAGAACTAGGACGGTCCGCTGCTCCTGAAGGTAATTCAGCATGTGGATTATGCAAAGCTTGCTGTGGAGGCGGGCGGTGATGGCATCGTCGTTTCCAAGCATGGAGGTAGGATGTCTCAAAATCACATGGATACATGCGCTAATCATCGCTGCATACTGGCAGGCCGACAACTTGATGTCGCAATAGGCTCTCTGGAAGTACTTCTCCGAGGTTGTTGATGTAGTCAGGGACAAACTGACGGCTCTCTTCGACTCCGGGATCCGAACGGGTGCAGGTCTCATCAAAGCACTCTGTCTAGGAGCAAAAGCAGTTTTTATTGGCGAGCCAGTCATTTACGGGTTGGATATGGATGGGAAGAAAGGAGCAGATATTGTCATCAGAGGGCTCTTGGCGGATGTCTGGCAAAACATGGGGCTATCGGGGATTCGGTCTGTGGCGGAGTGCTACTGCGACAAGATCCGAAAGGTCGTGTATCCGGGGGAGATGGGGCACGCTATAATGTAAGAAAATCAATCGTAGTCTCAATATTTTCTTGAATGAGAACATACCAGGTAGTACAATAAAGTGTGTTTACTTGCCGAGAGTCTGCGAAGACCGATCAGATCAAGATTGATTGTTTATTCGGGGCAGGTACTAGTACCTACCTACGGTACAGTACCGGTGTTGCGCTGAGAGGAAGAGCCGGAGGATCACATGTCAATGCCGGCATAACCCCTTAGGAAGTGATTGGTTCTATCCATGATTGCTTCTCCCAGTCGCCACTTGCGCCCAAATCCAGATCACAGTTCTGGCTTTTTCATCAACCAGGAACCCCTCCCCCAGCGCAATATTCCATGTTCTGTTTCACCAAAAGAAACTTCTATTAAACTTTAAGTCCCTGCGAAAACTGCCGCGTGATTTTCTGTCTTTCTCACCCCAAAAGTATTCGACTTTTTGCTCATGGCTGAAACGAAACTCACGGCACATCGGTCAAAGCGGGTCAATTCGACTGCAATTGTGATGGGCTGGGATGTCTAGACTCTTCAGTCTGCGGAAAGCATGGAAACGGGATGATATCGAGCAGGCATACGAGCAAGTCGGTCGCGAGGATGACACCCGCCATGTTCCAGCCACGTCCGGCTTGCCTCTTCTTCCGAGGCCGCTTGCATCTATGGTATCATTCATGACTCAGTCGACTTCTCTATCTCTTCGGATAGGGTCATTTGTTGGAGGCGCTGCGATAGATGGTGCGAGAACCACGACATTGACCGGGCTGGAGCTCAGCAGAGCAATACTAGAGGGAATTTTGACAAGGGCTGGGCGCGATGTTGTCAACAGCAGCAACGGAGAGTATGGCAAGGCAGAAGCAGAGTCATTACTCGAACGGAGTGTAAGTCGTTGGCATTGTCATGTTTATACTCACCAAACTGACAGTCAATTTAGCTGGCTACTTTGCATTCCACAATAACCTCGGCATCTTTTTTCGCCGCTGCTTCGTTCCATTTCTCCTCAGCTACACTTTTATCAGCAGCCAACATATCTCAGTCACTACTTTCCACACTCGATGCAACACTCGGCTCTACTGAATCGTCTAGGGCTATTGCCGCAATCGTGACTCTTTTCCGGAGCGAGCTCAGAGACCTCAACGATTCCGAATTCGGTACTGAACTGCGAGCTGGAAGAATTGGTGTCGCGGATCTATTGGTTGGATGTGTTGGATTTGCACTGCTCCAGCGTTGGGGTCGGAAAAACACAGAACGGCATGCACGTGGAGTCGGGGGTGTGGAATCCGTATGGGATGTGGTTATCCTGGACAATGGCGTGAGAGCAGATGTTGTTGGTACACACCAAATGGAACAGCCGAGAGCTGCCACTGTTGAACTGCGTGACGAGACGAATCGTTCATCATTCATGAGTACTGGGAACGATGAAGATGTTTTCGATGCTGTACAGCGACCAGCAAGCATTGCTGATACCGCAGAAAGGTCTCACTTCTCTCTTCCCACCGAGAACTCGCATCAAATATCCGACGATGATATCCGCTTGTACATCATGAGACAATTGCCTCAGGGTTGCCGTGCTTCTATAAGGACCGACCTGGTACATGCCAGGACTATCACAGTCGAAGTGTTTGATGATGACGTTGGTGAAATAGCTGCTCCACCAGGCACAATGATGATTGAGGAGAGACACCATGATAGTAATCTCTCCAGATCTTCCAGCCAGGGTCAGCTTCCCAAACATATGATGGTGTTCAGGACCGCCTTCACCAGGTCTAACAATGCCGATGTAAGACCATCCAGTCACCAAGAAAGCATAGCATCGCCGGCGGGTGACGAATGGGAACTTTCCCGGTCGCATCGAAACGTCGGGGATCAGTCGTTCGCCACAATAGGAAACAGTCTTGACGCACCATGCAACGCTAGGCTAGTGGCCACAGAGAAGCTTTCACCCGAGGATCACTTAAAGGATTCCAATACCAGTAAAGCTCGAAGTGTCAACTTGAACCCTGTCAAGCTTGATCGAGGTAACTCAGACCCCTCGTCTCTCGATAAGCGAGCAGCCACATCTAAAGATAGTCCTGCGAAGTCTTCTGTCGCGAAAGGAGCGCAAAGGGTCAAGTCTAGCAATATTGGTCAAAAGGAAAATGGCAAGCGCCCGTCCACGAAGCCTACTGCAGAGAAAGTAAAATCCCTACCATCGTCCGAAAACGCGATTCCACAAGTGAGACCTTTTAAGGGAGCAGCAAACGCGCGAAAGACATCAGCACAACAAAGTACTACCAAATCCGACCGCAGCGGGGCTCACGAAGCAGCAGCAGCGACATCACCAAAACGTGGACCATCGTCACCTGTAGCGAACAGAGGTTTGCCTAGAACGCCGTTGCAAGAACATCGTGTGAAGCCCGCGGCTTTCCCAAAGACGGGCCGCTCTGAGGCCCGAGAGGGTAGTCACACAGGCAATTCAAGAACGGAGTATTACGCCATACGCGAGAAGTCAGAGGAGTCTCTTGTTAACCACACAAAAGCCTATGCTCAAGATCCACCAAACACACGACCCGGGTCCCCTGTCACGCGAAGAACCCATGTGCGTAGTAGCAGTTCTCTGTCACTGACCAGGTCGGAAAGTGATGTGACCATCTTCACCAATAAGGATGGCCGTCCCAGCTCCTCTATGTCGCACCATCACCCTCGGGCATCATCCCCGAGCATATACTCTCTTGCCACAGCGGGGTCTGAGACATCACTTTTACTCGCCCATCGTCCTCGAAAAAGTGCTTATGATGATATAGAAGCACTTCAAAGCTTGAACCGGGATGGCACCGTGCCCGGCATCTTCCCTGCCAAGCACTTTGTGCAGAACATCAGACGTTTTTGCAGATTCTCCTCGGCTTCATATGGATCGCATGCCCTGAAAGTCATGGGTGTTCCGCGACTGACTAGTGCTCTACCCGCCGAAGAGGTATCTAGCCCGGAACATAGTGATTTCTCTGATCACACAGGCTTGCCAGCTTCCACGATCCTCTTGTCTTCCTTCGTCGACTCTGCGGGGGGCAGTAACGCCGCAGGGGAAACGGAAAGCGGTATTCCTCTAGTACACTATCTTTTCCTGGACCATGAATCGAAAGCAGTTGTTCTGACTCTGCGAGGGACATGGGGCTTCGAAGATATTCTGACCGACATGACCTGCGAGTATGATGACCTTGAGTGGCAAGGTAGGAATTGGAAGGTCCACAAAGGAATGCACGCTTCAGCCAAGCGTCTTCTGATGGGAGGAGGCGGCCGAGTCATGTTGACAATCCGAGCTGCACTCGAGGAATTTCCTGAGTATGGGCTGGTACTGTGTGGACATTCGCTCGGGGGAGGCGTTGCTGCACTCCTTGCAACAATGATTTCTGAACCCAGCAGGGATGCTTTTGGCGCATCATTCACGACCACTTCCTATCAGACCACGAACTTGGGTTCATCTGATAGCGACGAACAGTCCTTTGGCAAGGCCTTCTTTGTGCCCGCCGGCCGGCCTATTCATGTCTATGCATACGGCCCTCCCGCGACAATGTCGCCTTTCCTGCGTCGCGCAACGCGGGGATTGATCACTACCATCGTTAATGATCAAGATGTGGTTCCTTGTCTTTCGCTCGGCATTTTACATGATATGCATACAGTAGCTGTAGCATTCAAGGGTGACATTGCTGGCGCGCGCTCCCATGTGGGATTTCGAGTTTTGGAAGGCTTCAGGCAAAGCATTGTGAACAAGTTTTACGTTAACGAGCCGCCCATTCTGACACACGCAGGTTTAGGCGTAGGAGAAGATGCGTGGGCGTGGAATACATTGAAGACGCTTCGTGAGGAAATGAGTGCGCCCAAACTGTTACCACCTGGTGAGGTATTTTTGGTGGAAACAATGAGGGTCTTGCAGCGAAACGCTTTCACATCTGAAGTGAGCAGTGATGGCCACCCAGTGTTAGGTCGGCCTGCAACTAGAGCACAGTTGACATTCGTTCGAGATGTTGAAGCCTCTTTTGGAGAACTCAGGTTTGGCTCAGGAATGTTTAGTGACCACAACCCAGCAAGATATGAAGCGAGTCTTGCTGCACTTGCCCGTGGAATTTTGGATGAGTGATGTTATCTTGACTTTATGCCTACAACATAAAGCGATGCTTATATGATTATGTATTCATGGAGCCTCGAGATACCGGTTCTTTTGCTCATCTTTGGGTTTGACTAGGTAGTGGACGGAGAACAGCGATCATGTACAGTCGAATACTAATTTTGGAATAAACCCTGCAATCTCAAGACATCGCAGCTTCGAATGTTTAGTTCTCACGATATTCGAGGCTTCCCCGTAATCCCGTAAGAAGCTCAAGAGCAGCCCTGACAATGAATGCCACCCATGGCATGAGAGCCGACATTGAATACAAGAATCGCATGGCTCAACTTGTATTCAGTGAACGATGAATAGCTGGTTCGATGTTGGTCTCTTCACTTCATCTTGTGTTCGATACCCACCCAGGGCATCTCTTCTCGAACTTACGTATTTGGAGACTGTTCGTTCACGCATGTCTTTGTATAGTTAAGACAGCTCTGAAGTCACCAACAGGGACCAGGCGGCACCGCACCGCCCTCGACGTAAGGGAACACACCGCCAGCAGAACCTTGCACCATAGGGCTCGGCATGAGGTGACTATCAACCGCCCAAGCATTCGTCACTTGAATGTTTGTCATTGGCACAAGGCTAGCAAGCAGTAATCGAACCAAGACATTGGGCGGCGACATTATCCTTTTGAGCTCACATTCTTTCTCACTCGACTCTTCACCTACTGTGAGGCGGCTCCTTTTTCGGCTCACTGGGCTGTTTCCGGGTTCTTTCTTCAATCTTAGCTTCCAGATTTTGAAGCTGCTTTTCCACGAGTTCCTTTTTGGCCATCAAGTTCTCTCGCATGCCTCTGAGCCCGTTGATTCGCTCATCGATCGTCGGCTCAAGTGCCTTTTGTTCTTGTACTTTCTGCAGATGAAAGAGATCATTAACAAAGAGATTTCCGTGATTGAGATGGAGTCAGAGACCATACCTGTTGGAGTTGGTGTTGAGATTTCTGTGAGGCGCCAAAAAGAGTACCGGAAATAGTGATACAAATCACGGCGCCTGCTAGGGTAGCTCGTGGGATATCTTTCGGCAAGCGAAACATGTTGAAGCTTCGAGCACTTTCACACTTTGCGCTAAAAAGAGTTGCGATTGACTTCGCCGTCGATTGGTGAACAAAGCTGTCGCAAAAACCCACGAAATCACGAAGAGAGGGGCGAAGGCGGAGGATAGCAAGTCGATACAACAAAGAGCTCCGAAGTCCCCGACCGGCGGAAGGGTGTCAAAAGTCGGCGCTAAACCCAAACGGGGCTAGATGGGCAGGTCCAGAGTTTCTTTGTTCCCCTCCGACTCGCGTCGCGTCCGCCCGCGTGCCCATACTGTATCTTTCTTTATCACCGTTCCCATATCACTAAGGCGGTGTCAACAATCAAAGCTTCCTTTCCCCCCTCCTCTCCCCCCCCCTCCAAATGCGCCGGTGGTAATCGCACGGCGTGCTCGCCATTTATCGAAATGCCTTCCGGACGGTCCGTTCCTCGCCGTCGCACCCGGTCGGAAGAGGAGGACGAAAGCGATGATGCTTCCTCTTCCTCCGGATCGCCTCCAAACAATTCAAAAGCTCGATCCTCAAACCCGAATAAGCGCCGCAGACTAAGCAAGGACGATAATGATCAGTCTGATGAGGACTCTGAACGCTCTGCCAGTGGATCAGGCGACGACTCAGGTGCCGAATCATCCTCCTCAGGCTCAGCTACCGTAAAGCCGACTCCCCGAAACTCCAACACGAGCCAGCGCTCTAAATCGAGCACGCAAACCGCTCGACAGAGTCAAGAAGGGCAAGAGGACGCTTCCAGTGAAGAAGAGGATGAGTCCGCCGGATCTGAGGCAGCAGGGAATGGCAGTGAGGACGACAGCGTACCAGATCCCACTCAGGCCGGCGGCGCGGATGGCACCCAATCTCCTGTGACCATTGCAAATGAATCGCAGCCTGCCGATATGAACGAGACGACACCTGAAGGCTACAAACCCGGCGCCATCGTTCGCATCAAAGTCACCGATTTTGTCACTTATACATCGGCGGAATTCTTCCCGGGCCCGAAACTGAACATGGTCATCGGACCCAATGGAACTGGAAAAAGTACACTTGTCTGTGCAATATGTTTAGGACTAGGATGGGGACCGCAGGTACGAACGACTATTATGAAATCTCTCCATCGCTTATGGGCTTTCCTAATCAGCCTCTACTTCTTAGCACCTCGGGCGCGCCAAGGATCCTGGCGAATTCGTCAAGCACGGTTGTCGAGAAGCTATTATCGAGATCGAGCTTGCAGGCGGAAAGCGCTTTCGTCGCAACCCCGTAGTGTCTCGGACCATCAAACGCGATGGCAACAAAAGCACCTTCACGGTCAACGGGAAGCAGGCTTCCCGTCAGCAAGTGCTGAAACTCGCCCAGTCCTTCGCCATTCAGATTGATAACCTTTGCCAATTCCTTCCGCAAGACAAGGTCAGCGAATTCGCTGCTCTCACGCCCATCGAACTCCTCAACTCGACACAGAGAGCTGCGGCGGGTGACGAAATGGTCGAGTGGCACGAGAACCTCAAAAGTCTGAGGGTTGAACAGAAAAAGCTACAGACAGACAATCAGGGCGATAGAGATCTTCTAGCGAACCTTGAGGACCGACAAGAGATGCAGAGAGCTGATGTAGAACGTATGCGCCAGAGAGCTCAGATTAAGCGAAAGATTGAGATGCTGGAAATTGCTCGCCCGGTCACGCAGTACACGGAGCTTCATACCCAGTTCAATGAAATGAAACGAGAGCGGGATGTGAAAAATCAAGAATTGGCGGATCTTGAAAGAGAGCTTGAACCTGCCTTGAGGTCCTTAAATGAGAGGCAGGACTACTGTGTTAAACTGGATGATGTCATAAAGCACAGAACTCAGGCATTTGAGACTGCGGAAAAGAAGGCTTCCACTGCTGCTACGAAGATTGAGCGATTCGAGGCGCAGTTTAAGGATCTGGATGACCAAGCTGAAGCTGAGAAGAGAAGTGGGCAGAGTCACAGGCAGAACATCAGCAAGGTTCAGCAGAATTTGAACAAACTCCGGCGTTCTTTGCAAGAGGAAGAGCCCGCAGCTTTGGATCTGGACTCTTATAACGAGAGAATTGTAAGTGTGTTGAGGTAAATCTACGCTCAGCTGCTAATATCGGACAGCGGGAGAAACGAACGGAAATCAGAGAAATCGAGGCGCAGGCAAACAAACTCAAAGAAGAAAGACGGCCTCTTCTAGAAGCACACAAGCATGCAGCGGATCAGATTAGGGAGGCAGAGGGACAGCTCAGGAACCTCGATTCTCAAGCAGGACAGCAGGAATCAAAGCTGGAACGCTTATCTTCGGATTCTGTCAAAGCTTACCGATGGCTACAGGAGAATCAGGGCCGGTTTGAGAAAGAGGTCTTCGGACCTCCAACTATTACCTGTTCAGTCAAGGATCCTGCTTACGCCTACGCTGTCGAATCGTTACTCCAACGCACGGATTTCACTGCATTTACTACGCAAACCCGAAATGACTTCAGGACGTTGCAGAAAGCTCTGGTTGAGCAGAGGCTCTCAGACATCAGTATTCGTACCTGCTCTATTCCCCTAGATAGTCTTCGCCCATCCATCCCCGATCAGCAACTCAGAGGTCTTGGATTTGATGGATGGGCCAAAGACTTCTTGAGCGGACCCGATCCTGTGGTAGCTATGCTTTGTAGTGAGAACCGCTTGCATCAAACACCTATAAGTCTTCGGGATATCAGCGATGAGGAGTTCACGCAGATGCAGGATGGACCCATAAGCTCCTGGGTGGCCGGGAAGCAGACTTATGCGGTGGTCCGGCGACGGGAGTATGGTCCCAGTGCAACTTCCACGCGAGTAAGACCGGTCAAACCTGCAAAGATTTGGACTTCGCAGCCGGTCGATGAATCTGTGAAGGAAGACATAGTGCGGAGGATCAAAGCACTCGAAGATGAGGCAAGCGAGCTGCAGGAGAGAATGAATGGTGATAGAGCCAGACTCGCTCAGCTGGGTAAACGATATGAGGATATAGATAACGAGCGGGTAAGCAGGAACATCATGTGTTTTGCCACTACCTTCAGTGCTGATTTTGACCTCGTACAGAGACAACTCGAGCAGGAGAAAGGCGAGAAGCAAACGGCACTTTCAAACTGGAGAGCGATTCCAGAGAGAATTAGTACGTAAAGACATATGCGAGATCTGTGCTGGTTAAGATGCTAATCCGATTAAAGACCAGGAGGAACGCAAACAGAGGGAGATACAGGGAATGATTGATGAGGTGAGATCGAGAGTCAAGGGAATCCGCGACCAACAAGCCCAAGTATCGATCAAAAAGGCCGAGGCTGCTATCGAATATGCGGTAAGTTTCGAGACGACCCTCGAAAATGCACAGCATTGCTAATAGGCGGCAGACTGCGGTCAATGTTCTCCATCGACTACACGAAGAACTCATCAAAATCAAGATCCGACACATCGAAGGCATCTCCGATCTCGAGGCTCTTAGGGCGCGCAACGTCCAGCACCAGGAGAGGCTGAATACAAAGCGCGACGAAGTGAAGGCTGCCCAGCAGCAGATTAAGGATACCACGGAACGAATGAAGAAGCTGTACAAGGAAGCGCAAAAGATCCTGGCAAACGCTAGCAGACAACCCGATCTGGCTGAATTTATCCCCACGCTGGCCAACCACACCACCGATCAGCTCGATGCGGACATTGATGCCGAGAAAGCACGCCTCGAGCTCACCCACGGAGGCAACAGCGGCGTGATCAAGGAGTTCGAGGAACGGGCTCGTCAAATCGACAAGCTGCGCAGCAAGCTCTCCGATTTCGACAACAAACTTGCGGACTACAACCACGCGATCAACGAGATCCGCGGCAAGTGGGAGCCCAAGCTCGAACGCATCATCAAGAGCATCAGCGATGCCTTCTCCGACTCCTTTGCTCGCATTGGTTGTGCCGGCCAGGTCACCCTGGACAAGGCCGAGGAGGAAAGCGGCCCTCACGGCGAGGCGGCCGACACGGACTTCGACCAGTGGTCGATCCAGATCCACGTGAAGTTCCGCGAGCACGAGAACCTGTCCCTGCTGGACGCCCACCGGCAGTCCGGCGGCGAACGAGCTGTCAGCACGATCTTCTACCTCATGGCACTCCAGTCCCTGTCCGCCTCGCCGTTCCGCGTTGTCGACGAGATCAACCAGGGTATGGACCCCCGGAATGAGCGCATGGTTCACGGGCGCCTGGTCGACATCGCCTGCGCTCCGTCTGAAAGCGGCGGCGGCGGCGGCCAGTACTTCTTGATCACCCCCAAGCTCCTGAGTGGATTGACCTACAAGCCTGGCATGCGGGTTCTTTGCATCTACAGCGGAGAGCACATGCCCGAAGACTACAACGTCGTTAGCTTCGGCGAGGCGGTTAACAAGATGAGAGCTGTGGCCGGCCGTACTAAGGGCAAGGGAAGGGCGATCGACGGGGTTCGAAGCAATGGGGACGTCGGAGTCTACGGTTGATTATCCAGAACGTTTCACTTCGTTCCCGTTTGTGGCTTGTAGGTTTGGATAGGGGATTTCTTACATCGTTTCTTGCGGGAGTTTGACTCACTTGTGATACCTTTGTTTTATTTGGCTAGGTCAACGTTACGAAGCTGGGAAGAGGCTATGATGGATATTCTAGCAGAGAGCAATTTTGCTTATTTTCGGATGTACATGACAAAACATACGGAAAGGTGGGATTCAAAACTGGGACATTGCATAACTGTTGTCATTTGCAAAACTAAAAACTATTTACCCCCAAAGAGTTCTTCTTCCTAGGGAAACTCGGAAAAGCTTTATCACAGGGATGTAAGCTCGCTAGGTACATCATGGGATCTGAGACTGCAATTCCGCTGCCAACCTGTAAGATCTATACATACTTGAGTGCGGTCAAAAAGTATCAGGGCATAGAAACCGTTTATCTAGGACGATATACTTCCGTACTCATCTCTTCCTCGTTCCTCACCCTCCTCCAAGCCTTAAATAAGCACATAGGAACGAGCCAGGCTCGTAAGAATCA